GGCCTCCTGCTCTGGTCCCTGGGGAAAGGAGCGGGGCTGGGCTGAGGGCTCTAGGGAAGAAGCGGGCACCCGGTTGTGCCGAGGGCCACTCCTGGGGGATCTGTGGCTCACGTCCTGGCCAGGCTCCACCCTCTGCCACAGGTACCCCTGGAGGGTTCCTGGTAGGGCTCACCTGTGCCAGGGGATGAGGAGACATGGTTTGGGAGTCCAGAGTCCTAGGTTCTCACTCTGATCAGAAGTCACTTCCCCAGGGTGATGACTAATCCCGCTGTCCATACCCAGAGAATCCACTGATGTGTTCATTCAACAAATATTTGCTGGACGCCTCATTAGAGTTCTGAGACTAAGAGGTGAGCAAAACAGATACTGCTGTCATTGCTACTAAACAGATCATCTTGTCAATGACATCATCTTACCCTGTGAAGGGGCAGAGTCTCTAGAGGATGCCAGCAGAGGGGAGGACACAGAGAGGCCCCAACTGGCATAGGGGACCTAACACAGGTGAGCCCCACTAGGGAGGGCTTCTCAGAGGAGGAGTCAGATGTTAAAACCAAGAGCAGGAGTGAGCCTGCGTGGTGGGGGCGTGGCCTTCGTCCAGGATGGGAGCCCCCAGGTGGGGAGGAGCTTCAGAGTGGGCCCCAGCACTCTCTACCTGAGGTCCTGCCCCCTCAGCCCTTGCCCTTGTCCCCCAGCACTTGCTCTCTGTCACCTCTCTGCTTCCCTCTCACTTTTGGTCCTGGCCAGCAGGGGGGCCTTAGAAGACAGCAGGCAGAGGGCTCAGGCCCCCGGCAGCCCCCAGTACCTCCCTAACTCCTTGCTCTAGGCCAGAGGGGCTCAGTGGTCCAGGAGTCCGGCTGCACTCTCTGGGAAGAGTAGAAAAGTTAAAGGGGGCCCCATGTGGTGGCTCATGCCTGTAATCCCAGCACTTTGGGAGGCCGAGGTGGGCAGATCATGAGGTCAGGAGTTCGAGACCAGCCTGACCAACATGGTGAAACCACATTTCTCCTAAAAATACAAAAATTATCCCACAATAGGCTGTAAGCTTGAGTTTAAAAAAATAAATAAATAAAAAATAAAAAAAGAGAGAGAAAAAAAAGAAAAAAGAATACAAAAATTAGCCGGGCATGGTGGTGGGTGCCTGTCGTCCCAGCTACTTGGGAGGCTGAAGCAGGTGAATCACTTGAACCCAGGAAGCAGAGGTTGCAGTGAGCAAAGATCTGCACTCCAGACTCCAGCCCAGGTGACAGTGTGAGACACCGTCACAAAAAAAAAAAAAAAAAAGTTAAAGGGAACCTCTGGGGATGTGGAGGAGCCTCAGCTCTCAAGCCTTCCGTTCTCCACTGATGTGAGGAGGGACTGTGCCTGGGTCCTGGGGGGGATGGGGAACTATGGCATCTACTGCCTGGTTCTGGAGGGGAAGGCCTGGATCAGAGACCACCACAGGAGAGGGAGGAGGACCCTCGAAAGGCTTGCAGGAGACAGCAGGACTGCGGCGGGGTTAAGGAGGTCTCCCCTGTCCCTAGTCCAGGGTGCCCCTCCACTCTGGTCCCCTGCAGAAAGTAATCCCTGTGCCTGGCCCCACCCAGGTCCCTGGCACCGACCTTCATGGCTCTATGACATATCCTGTTCCAGGTGGCTTTTTCCAGCGTCAGGTCAGGGGAGGAGGCGGAAGGGGGTGGGCGGAGCTGAGCCACCTATGTGCTGCCCAGGGCTGGCACTGGAGTGACTATGCCCAGGTTCAGGGGGCTGTGCACAATTAGTTGGGGGTGGTCTGGCTTTGCAGCCTGGCAAATCTTCTGTGCCTTCCTGTCCTCTTTCAGGTCCAGCAGGGTCAGTGGGTGCACACTGGGAGGGAGGGCAGAAGCCCGAGGGTCTCTGCTGTGTCTGATTTCTCTCCCTAAAGCGGCAGCAGGGAAGGGAGGGGGTGGTGGACAGCGAAAAACCACTTGAGAGGCCCGGATCAGAGACCACCCCGGGTCTCATGGACAGCCCTAGGCTGTGGAAAGGCAGACATCTGTCAGCCAGGCCAAAATGCTTACTTCCAGAATGACAGGGCCCCGAGCCCTGGTTTCTCCATCTGTAAAAATGGAGTCACCGTCCCTACTGCACCTGCTGTGGGGCGACTGAGCCTGTAGGTGAGGAAGCGATGTGTGGAGGTATGCGGGCTGGCACTGCCCTCTGGTGCCCATAGCCAGAGTTGCTGGCTGCCGGTGCACTGACCTAGAGGGGCGGACTACTGGGGGAGCTTTCAGGAGAGGGGAGGACACAGAGAGTCCTGACTTCATCTCTGTCTTCTCCATCCCACCGCCTTCTTCTTCTCCCTCAAACTCTCCAGGGGGTTCCCAGGACTGCTTCCTCATGGGCCAGAAACAGTTCAATTCAGCAGGAATGTAATAGGCTTCTTCTGTATGCCCTGTTCTGCGCTTGGTGGTTGGGGCTGCAGAGATGTCCGAGGCACAGACTGTCCAGGAAGCTGGGCTGTGGGAGGGCCACTCGGCAGAGCCCGCAGAGCTGCAGCCTCACAAAGCCTGGGCTGTGCTCATGCCGGAACGGCCACCTCCTCATGTTCTTCAACCTCACTGTCGCAGCAAACACTGGGGTGGTGTCTCCTTCAAGCTTTCCACTGACAAAGAAACCATAGAAAACACGCACGCTTTGAACAAGGTGGAGAACAGGTTAGGTTATGAAAGTTCCTTCATTTCCAGAATTATCCTGGGAGATGGTTTCTCTCTTCTGCACCTGTTTTCTCCTCCCTGAGGGAACAGTTCCATCAGCATGTAAACATATTGTCCTCTCTCCCATCTTCAAAACACACTCCCCAGCGCGCACGTCCTCCTTCAGCTCCGGTGCCCTTGCCCAACTCTCCTTTGTTGCAGATTTCTTCAATACAGTTTTCTGTAATCTGTTTCTTCCCTCCCTCCCTCCCTGCTTCCCTCCCTTCCGACAGGGTGTTGCTCTGTCACCCAGGCTGGAGTGCAGTGGTATGATCAAGACTCACTACAGCCTTGACCTGTGCTCAGGTGACCTCCCACCCCAGCTCCTCAAGTAGTACATCTGTGCACCACCATGCCCAACTAATTTTTTTTTTTTTTTTTTGAGACGGAGTTTCGCTCTTGTTACCCAGGCTGGAGTGCAATGGCGCGATCTCGGCTCACCGCAACCTCCGCCTCCTGGGTTCAGGCAATTCTCCTGCCTCAGCCTCCTGAGTAGCTGGGATTACAGGCACGTGCCACCATGCCCAGCTAATGTTTTTGCATTTTTAGTAGAGACGGGGTTTCACCGTGTTGACCAGGATGGTCTCGATCTCTTGACCTCGTGATCCACTCGCCTCGGCCTCCCAAAGTGCTGGGATTACAGGCTTGAGCCACCGCGCCCGGCTTTTTTTTTTTTTTTTTTTTTTTTAGAGATGAGGTTTTGCTATGTTTCCCAGGCTGGTCTTGAATTCCTGGGCTCAAGCAATCCACCCTCCTAAGCCTCCCAAAGTGCTAGGATTATAGGTGTGAGCCACAGTGCACAGCCTCCTCTGTGTTTTCATTTTGTTACCTCTCATTATTTCCTCACCCCTCTTTGATCTCTCTCACCTCCACCACCAAGACCACTCTTTTTTTTTTTAGAGATGGAGTCTTGTTCTGTCGCCCAGGCTGGAGTGCAGTGGTGTGATCTCGGCTCACTGAAACTTCTTCCTCCCGAGTTCAAGCAATTCTCCTGCCTCAGCCTTCCGAGTAGCTGGGACTACAGGGGTGTGCCACCACACCCAGATAATTTTTGTATTTAGTAGAGATGGAGTTTCACTATGTTGGCCAGGCTGATCTTGAACTCCTGGCCTCAGGTGATCCACTCACCTTGGCCTCCCAAAGTGCTAGGATTACAGGTGTGAGCCACTGTGCCGTGCCATGCAAGACCGCTTTTGCCAAGGTTGTCCATGACCCCAGCTCACCAAGGTTGCCCATGACCCCAGCTTGCTAAGCTCAGTCTCTGTTCTCAGTTTTTGCCTGACCCAGCCCCAGCAGCACCGCACAACACGTGTCCACTCTCTACATGAAATTCCTTTCTTTTCTGTTCTTTCTCTCTCTTCATTTTCTTTCTTTCTTTCTGCTTGCTTCTTCCTTTTTTTTTCCTTTTGTCTCTCTCTCTTTTTTTTTTTTTTTTTGAGACGGAGTCTCGCTCTGTCGCTCAGGCTGGCAACAGTGCAATGGCACGATCTTGGCTCACTGCAACCTCTGCCTCCCAGGTTCAAGTGATTCCCCTGCCTCAGCCTCCTGAGTAGCTGGGATTACAGGCGCGCACCACCATGCCTGGCTAATTTTTGTAATTTTAGTAGAGACGGGGTTTCACTATATTGGTAAGCGGAAAACCACTTGAGAGACCTGGATCAGAGTTCACCTCGGGTCTCCTGGACAGCCCTAGGCCGTGGAAAGGCAGACATCTGTCAGCCATGCCAAAATGCTTACCTCCAGTATGACGGGGCCCCGAGCCCTGGTTTCTCCATTTGTAAAATTGAGTTACGGTCCCTACTCCATCTGCTGTGGGGCAACTGAGCCTGTAGGTAAGGAAGCCACGTGGGGAGGTATGCGGGCCAGCACTACCTTACCCTCTGGTGGGCGAACTCCTGACCTCAGGTGATCCACCCGCCTCGGCCTCTCAAAGTGCTGGGATTACAGGCCTGAACCACCGCGCCCTGCCACAGGGAGACTTTTAAGCGGTGTCTCCCCAGGAGAACAGGGGTTCGCCAGCCTGGCAAGAGGAGGGCAAAGCGAATTGAATTAGCGTTGGAGGTGAGGTGAAGAACCAGGAATCACAATCAGGTCAGGGTTGCAGCGCCAGGCGGGACAGCACGTTGGAAGCGCACTGGAGTTTGGAATGTCTCTCCCAGTCAATCGAGAAGGATGCAGCCCTGCCCTCATGCACTGGCCACCCCAGACCGTAAGCACAATGTCGGGTTGGCAGCTTCTACACTAGGGAAGGCAGCCCAAGCCCAGGCGCGGCCCGGGAGCCGGGGAGAGGCTGCCCCCAGCCAGGGACTTGCCCAGTCGGGGCTCGGGAGTCCCAGGGCAGCCACGGCTTTGGGCAGAACCATTCTCTGGAGATGGAGAGGGGAGAAGAAATCTTTCGTTTCCAGCCCAACTCGGAACCATCCGGAACCTGCACTCGGCCTTCTTGCCCTCCTTTCCTTACAGTGCTCTGTTCCGTCACCACTAGCTCCCCTCCCTCGCGGCTCTGAGTCCCGCATGCCACTAGTTGCTTCTCGGTGGCCCCCCACCCCTACGTGTGGTCGGACCTGGCGGGGAGCACCTGGGCAGGTTATAAAGGTCCCGCTGCGGCAGTGGATGGAGGAGTCAAGATGCGCCAGAGGCGGTCGGGGTGCGGCTGCGCTGGGAGGCTGCGGGGGGCCGGGACTCGGACGCGGGGACCCAGCAGCAGCCACCTCTGCACCCTCACCTCAGCCAGTCCCACTCCGGAGTCCTCTGCGCGGCCGCAGGCACGGGGCACTGCCTCTCAGAAGCCCACACTGGAGCTCGTCCGACTTCCGAGGCTGGAGCCAAGGCAGGAGCCTGGTGCGCGTCCGCACTCTCGGCCGTCCAGGGAAATGCCGGGTCTGTGCCCGACAGTTCGGACGCGCCGCGGATCCGCTTAGTATTCCAAGGGCTGTTTGGTCCCCGGGCCACTGGTCTGGGGGCTGGAAAGGCAGCGGGCATCTGGTCACCACCCGCCTACATTGGCCGGCAACCCGGGGTGTCCAGCCCTGAACGCACCGCCTTTATTCGGGAGCTGGAGGAAGGTAAACCGGGCCCCCGGGGTCCTGGACCGGGTGGGGTCTGGGGCAACTCCGGGAAGGAAGTGGCCCCGCTGGGTCCAGGCGCCTGGTCCCCGCTGGTACTCAGTGTCGCCGTCCACCACCCCCGCAATGTCACTGTGGCGCCTGTCTGGTCGCCCCTTCCCCATCTCCTCCTCCGCTTTCGTCCCCTGATTTGTGCCAGTGAGTCAGGTCCTGGGGCCTGCGCTCTTGCCCACCCACCTCCACGCGCCTGTTGCTGCGGCAGATCTGCGTCCCCTCAGCGCCCCTCTCCCGGGTCTACTGCAGTGCTAGGAGAGGGACGGGGGGCTGCTGGAGGGCACTACCCAGCGCGCTCTGAGCCAGCGCTGGCCGACAGGGCTCGCGCGCGATGGAGAGGCGGGGTGGGCGGAAGGGGAAGTTTTGCCCACCTTTCGGTTGCGGGTTTGGGGGCAAGGTCGTGCCCTTCCCCCCTCCCCTTCTCTTTCCTTCTATCCTCCCGTGGGTCGGGGGAGATCTCTGGATTGGCTGTAGAGGCTCGAATGCACCCTAATCTGGTGCTGGAGAAGCCTTCCTCTTCAGTTGCAGCGTGAGTGGCTGCGTCTGTTTGTATGACCTGGGAGACTCCACTGCACTGCCTTCTGGGTAGGGGGTGATGAGCCAGTCTGAGGCTGTACTTCCCCTGGCTGTCTCCATCCTCCTAGGCGCCAGGGACCCAGGTGTCCGGAGAGCCCAGTTCCTGAGCCTGGAGGACTGTGATCCTCTTGCTTGATCCAGGCTCCTCCAGGAAAAAAAAAAAAAAAAAAAGCCCCAGTTCACTTGGCCCTGGGAGCAGGGAAGGGACTGTTGAGTGCTGAGGGCTAAGAGGAGGATGTTGGGGGCAGGAGGGGAGCCCAGTCTTTTCTCCTGATGACCGTTGTTGGAGGAGACCTGAGGATAGGACCGGAAACAGCTGGTTGCTGATGGCATCTGCTCCTTTTTCCTGACCTGCCTGGGCCTTTCTTCCCCACCCGCCGCCTCCTGCAGCTCTGTTTCCTAACCTACCTCCGCCAATCAAAATGATCACCCAGGAAGATATCAAAGTGATGTTGTATTTGCTGGAGGAGGTGTGTACTGCCTTCCCAGGTCAGGCAGGCCCTTGTTCTAGTACTGCCCTGTAGCGGTGGGGGTCTTGTTTATTTCCTGTTTGGCTGTCTCTCTGGGGGCCCAGCTAGGGGTCCTTCTTATGGAAGACAGGCCGGTGCGGGATGTTCAGGCTGGAAGAGCTCTTAGAGCCAATCTGGTCTGATCTGCTTTTTCTGTGAGGGGAAACTGAGTCAGGTTCCACAGTGGGTTAATGGCAGACTCTGGTCTAGTCCCTAGAGAACTAGGGGATGGGGAGGGTTCTCTTAGGGACCTAGCCTCCCTCTGACCCCTGTGTACTCCCCAGCTTCTTCCACCTGTCTGGGAGATCCTGGATGCTGGGAGAGTATTACCTATGATTGAGGATCCTTCTGCAGAGAGAGAGAGAACTGAATACTGCAGCCCGCATCAGCCAGTCCCTGGTGAAACAGAACAGTGTTTTGATGGAGTAGAACAGCAAGCTGGAAGCCCTGTTGGGCTCAGCCAGGGTGGAGGTAACTGGGTGGGGAGGGTAAGGGGTCAGTCCACCCCTCTCACGCCCCTGCGCACTGCCAACCCATAGCTCCTCTCCCTTCCTGCCAGATTTTACACCTCAGACACCAGGTGAACTTGCGGGATGACCTCCTTCAGCTCTACTCAGATTCTGATGATGAGGATGAGGATGAAGAAGAGGAGGCAGAAGATGAGGAACAGGAAGAAGAGGAAGCAGAGGAAGACCAGCAGCATGCTCATCCCTGTGAAGCCCCCAAGCCGTGAGTGCCTGCCTTTGCACCTGCGAGTCCTTTCTTTGAGCCTCAGTTTCCTCATTTGTTAGGAGGGACACAGGCAGTGTGCAGGGTTGCTGGAATGAATTGAGAACACTCGCCTTAGCCCTGGTGGGGAGGCCCTGGGTGGGCTGGGAACTGGGAAGCCCCACTCCCTGCACCCTGACCCTAATTCCTCCCTCCCCCAGGACTTCAAAGGAGGCATTGCTGCACAAGCACCACTGCCCGCAGCTGGAAGCCCTGCAGGAGAAGCTGAGGCTGCTGGAGGAGAATAATCAGCTGAGAGAAGAGGTAAGGAGGGGGGAGGAGGGTGTCCCGCCAGCAGGGGGTGTTGACTTCCCTGTCCCTTCTTCTCTCCCTCCCTCCAGGCCTCTCTGCTCAATACCCTTGAGGATGAGGAACAGATGCTCATTCTGGAATGTGTGGAGCAGTTTTGTATGTAATGTTGTCACTCGAGATCGGGGGCTGTCCCAAGGAGCAGAGAAAAGAACTCAGGATTCGGAGTATGGAGATCCAAGTTCAAGTCCCAGATCTGGCACTCCTAGCTGTGTGAACTTGGATACATTCCTTGACCTCTCTGAATCTTTGTCTTTAGAATGGGGATGAATTATCTCAGCCTTGCTGATCTCTTCAGGGTTTATGAGAATTAAGAGTGTCAACAGCTGAGGAAGTGCTTTGTGCAAACTGTAAAGAGCTATACAGAAGCTGTGGGTCTGTGACACAGCAAGACTTCATCTCAAAAAAAAAAAAATGGCTGGGTGTGGTGGCTCACACCTGTAATCCTGGCACTTTGGGAGGCTGAGGCAGGCGGATCAGAAGGTTAGGAGATTGAGACCATCCTGGCAAAGATGGTGAAACCCCACATTCAAAAAAACAAAAAAAAAAAAAAAAAAAAAAAAAAGCCGGCTGTTGGCACGTGCCTGTAGTCCCAGCTACTCAGGAAGCTGAGACACTAGAATCACATGAACCCGGGAGGCAGAGGTTGCAGTGAGCCAAGATCATGCCACTGCACCCCAGCCTGGGGGACAGAGCGAGACTCTGTCTCAAATAAAAAAGTGGTGGGTCTCTTCCAAGTCTGTCTCCTGTTATTTGGGGCAGTCAGGAGGGAGCCATGAGCTGCCAGAGACCAGGTACCCAGGGCAGGGACAGTTCAGAGTCATGCATGGGGCAGTGGCTATGCCTGGCACCGTCCTAGGTGCTATGTGTTTATGAAGATGAGTGAAGGCAGTGTTTGTGCGTGAGTTCAGTGTAGCTGGTGAGATACAGAAGCAAAGTGGCAACAGTGGAACTCCTGTTGTTCCTTCTACCCTAGACCTGACCTTCCCCACCCAACCCGCGCTCTCCAGGCTACTGGAGTAGGAACCAGTCACCAAGCTGAATGGTCCGCTGGTCCCCAGACTACTGGAGTAGGAACTAGTTGCCAAGCTGAATGGCCCGCTGGTCCCCAGGCTACTGGAGTAGGAACCAGTCGCCAAGCTCTGTTGCTTTTACTGCCTAGGAATGGCTTGTCTCTTTTCCCCTCCCTCTCTGGCTGCCTCTAGCCCAGGACACCTCTCAACTGTTCACACCGCCTCTGCTCCCTCCCTGTCAGGAGCTTCTGCACACAGCCCCACTGAGTTTTCTAAAACCAAACCTGGCCAGGTGCAGTGGCTCCCACCTGGGGTCCCAGCTACCCAGGAGGCTGAGGCGGGAGGATTGCTTGAGCCTGGGAGTTCTGGACTGTAGACACTATGCTTATGGGGTCAGGATGGTCCAGGGAGTTGCCTGAGGAGGGGTGAACTGGCTCAGGTCAGAAGCAGAGCATGTCAAAACTCCCGTGCTGATCAGTAATAGGATCGCGCCTGTGAATAGCCACGACACTCCAGCCTGGGCAGCCGGGCAAGACCTCATTTCTTTCTTTTTCTTTTCTTTTGAGATGGAGTGCAGTGCTGCAATCTCTGCTCACTGCAGCCCCTGCCTCCTGGGTTCAAGTGATTCTCCTGCCTCAGCCTCCCGAGGAGTATCTGGGACTGCTGGTGTTTTTTTTTGAGATGGAGTTTCACTCTGTTGCTCAAGCTGGAGTGCAATGGCGTGATTTTAGCTCCCTGCAACCTCCACCTCCCGGGTTCAAGAGATTCTCCTGCCTCAGCCTCCTGAGTAGCTGGGATTGCACGCCACGATGCCTAACTAATTTTTTGTATTTTTAGTAGAGACGGGGTTTCACGTTGGTGAGGCTGGTCTTGAACTCCTGACCTCATGTTCTGCTTGCGTTGGCCTCCCACAATGCTGGGATTACAGGGTGAGCCACTGTGCCTGGCCATCTTCCCTTCGTTGCCTGGCTGAGCTTCACTTGCCCTGCGGTCTTAGCTTAGTGGTTCCTTTCTCCAGGATTCCTTCCTATACCTTGCAGGTCTGGGTTGGGTGCTGTAGCTGTGATGCCTCTTCCCCAAATGCCCTTGACATTTGCCCATCACGCCCTGTATTCGTGACTGTGGTCTGTCTCCCCACCAACTTGACCTCAGCGTGGGGCTGGATCTTGTTGACCACTCACCTTGGTGCCCTGCTCAGTATCAGTCAATGAACATTTCTTGAATAGACCTGAGTGAGGAATGCTAAGCCCTGTGGGACCTGCTGGCACAGGCCAGCAGCCGAGGGTGGGGCAGACAGAGGCATCTGGGAGGGTCAGAGCTGGGCCCCAAAGGCCAGGGGCGCCAGGGCGGACCTGTCCTCCGCCCTCCTCAGCGGAGGCCAGCCAGCAGATGGCTGAGCTGTCGGAGGTGCTGGTGCTGAGGCTGGAAAACTATGAATGGCAGCAGAAGGAGGTGGCTCGGCTGCAGGCCCAGTTGGTGAAGCTGCAGCAGTGGTGCTGGATGGTGAGTCGGGCCTGTGTGGAACCCTCTTATCGTGGCCCTGTGTGACCCTAGCTTCCTTCTCCCTGCCTCTGCTTGGCTCCACCAGGCCCAAGGTCCCTTTCTGTGTCAGAGTCAGAGTTAGAGGAGACCTCAGCAAGGCCCTTATCTTGACCCCTTGTTTAAGGAGGGGACCAAGGCCCAGAGAAGGTCCTGGAGTCTTCTAGGAACCAGGCCATGTGACTCCCCTGCCTTCTTTGCCCTCCTTCTGTGTGACTTCTCACTTCACGGGCTGCCAAGGACTCACTGATGAGCCTGGTGAGACTTGCTGGAAGCAGGGGGTGCCCCAAGTGGGGAGGCCTCAGATGGGGGTTCACTAGTTTTGGGTCCTTCCAGTATGGGGCTGAGACTGAGAAGTTGTAGCAGCAGCTGACTTCGGAGAAGGAAATCCTGATGCAGCTCCAGGAAGAGGTGAGGCTCCCTCCCAGCTCCTGCCCCCACCCTGGAGAGCCGCTGGCCCAGAGTGCGGACTCTAGGCCCTTGGCAGCTACCTGACTCTGGAGAAGACTAGCAGGGACTGAGTCTTATCCCTTTCCATCCCCTCCATGCCTGGCACAGCCCAGCAGGTGGCAGTTCCGTCAAGGTTCAAGTGACGTGGAGTGCAGGGACCTTCCCTGGGTCCCCCACGTGGCACTTGGAGTCCAGAGCTTGGGCCTCTGGCCTCAGCCTGAGAGTGGATAGGCAGAGGTGCTGGACGGGGTGGGCCTGGGTCCTGGGAGAGCCTGCGGGTGGGTTCCCAGCTGCAAGACCTGCAGGAGAAGTACACAGACCGTGGGGGCATGCTGATTGACACACAGGAGGAGAAGACCCTCAGCACTCCCCGGTGTCCACTGGGTCTGCCACCCACTGCCCATACAGCGTGCCTGTGGTGAGGACCCTCTCCTGGCTGCCCACCTTTCTGCCTCTGTGCCTGTGTCTCGGCCTTGGTGTCTGATTGAGATCCCAGTTCGCGTCTGTGCCTAAGACCATGGCTAGGGGTCCTCTGGTAACGTCTGTTTTCTCCACCATAGGAGACTCTTCCTGGTTTCTAGCAGACCCTGGCTGAGGAGCTCAGAGCATCTCTAAGGAGGATGATCTCAGATCCCATGTGTTTTATGGAAAGGTGCGTGGCTGGGGCCCTCCCCGGCCCTTAGGCGTGGCCTTTCCTGTAGCCGGGAGGGGGTTTGCCCTCACACTCTCGCATGCTTCCCTTACCTGCCTCGTTCACTGCCTCAGCCCCTCCACTCATCACTTCCCCTGAGGTTCTTTTTTTTTTTTTTTGAGATGAGTCTCACTCTGTCACTTGGGCTGGAGTGCAGTGGCGAGATCTCGGCTCACCACAACCTCTGTCTCCTGGGTTCTAGCGATTCTCCTGCTTCAGCCTCCCAAGTAGTTGGGATTACAGGCACGAGCCTGGCTAATTTTTGTATTTTAGTAGAGATGGGGTTTCAACGTGTTAGCCAGACTGGACTTGAACTCCTGACCTCAGGTGATCCGCCCGCCTCGTCTTCTCAAAGTACTGGGATTACAGACGTGATCCCAATACATATTTACAAATATGTATTGGGTTCCTCCTATTCTTGCCACTGGGGATAAGAAGGGAGGAGGGACATGTGGTCCTCACGCTCAGTTTCCTGTTTCGCCAGAGAGGCAGACAATAAACTGGCCAACAAAACAGCTACAGATTGTGAAATGTGCTCTGAAGAAAGTACTGTGCTGTGTGAGACAAAGCAGCAGACGGCAAGAAGCCGTGTTTGCCTCTTTCTGCTTGTCAGCACAGTTTCACAAAGACCCCAACTATAGTCAGCTCTCTGGAAAGATGCTTTGAAGACAGCACAGGAGAGAGCCCAAAGCCCCCCACGCCTCTTGCCTGAGTCACGTTTCGTTTCTTCTTCTTTTCTTTTTTCTTTGAGAGAGGATTTTGCTCTGTCGCCCAGGCTGGTGTGCAGTGGTGTGATCTCTGCTCACTGCAACTTCTGCTTCCCGGGTTCAAACAATTCTTTTGCCTCAGCCTCCTGAGCAGCTGGGACTACAGGCACAGGTCTGGCTAAGTTTTGTATTT